GGGCTATATCTTCAGTGCTGTCCTCTGTAGTGCATTCTTCTGGGGAGGGGATCAATGTAGCTGGGATGGGGTATCACTTGGAAAACCTAGTTTGGTTGGTCTGACCCAAGCCATGGTATTTTTCATACGCATGCAAAAACTGAACAGAGTAGAATTGATGCCTATGAATTGCAATGTTGACAAAGGATATGAAATAGTAGGAGGACTTCAAAAAGTTCCTGGAAAATGTAATTAAAATATAATGGCTCTCTTTCCAAGAACATTTGGAACTCCCTCATAGACTACCAGAAGTATGAACAAAGATGTGTTGGAAGAAACACAGCCAAATATTTATTAGGGAAGAAGCTGGTGATATTTCATTGTAGGGACTTTGGACATGTTATGAGATAGGATCAGTCCCTGGAGAGGGACACCTTGCTTTCTAAAGTGAAAGGTCAGAAAAAAAGAGAAGGTGTCTCCGTGGGACAGCCTGGCAGTGCTTGGTCAGACAGCAGTAAGGTGGTGAGGGCGGCACAGCCCAGGGAGGCTTTCATTCCGTTGGACAAGGGCTGCTTTGAGTCTGATCCAATCATCGCACGGCTCAATAAGTACAATCATTGTTTCTTTTAAAAGGGCAGACTTGATGTGCTAAAGAGAGCAAAAAACATTTGAAAATCTTTCCAGAGACACTTTGAATTTCTGTTAGTTTTACAAGGGGTTCTGGGAGGTGGTTCCCAGCACGTCCCTCCTTTCTTTGCTCCCTGGTGTTCCCCGCCCTTCTCGCTTCGGTTCCATCAGTAGGCAGCCTTTCCTGCTTGTTACTTCTTCTGCCATTACTTCTGCTTCCCTGGAATTGTGCTTTCCTTTTCCTCTTTCCCCAATGAGTCGATCCCTAGTGCCTTCCCATTTTAGAAGTATTTCTGCATTTGTACCATCAGCATAGCCTAACTTCTATGGCTTGGGGGTTCTGCATAAAAGGACCCTTTGAATATTTATAGTATAACATTTTTCATCTACTGTATTAACGCAGGGCTTGATTCACTAAGCTCCCAAATTAAAGATAATGGTTTTATGAATAACATTTCATTCTAAAGGTCTAAAATATCA